AGAGCGTCCTAACACTGACAGTTCCACCATCACCTTCCTCCCTGGTAAGCTCTGGTTCTTATTTAAAAGCCTTTATTGTATCAGAATCTGTCTGATTTGTTTGGTTATATGAGTTTTGCTTAAAGAAAACACCAGAGTAATCTGAAGAATAGAGTTCTTTCCACAAAAAAGCAGGTGTGTGTGCACATATGTTCCTCAGGCCATTCTATCTCCATCCTAAATTAGTGTGAGAATCTGTTGGGAAGAAAAAGTCATCCCTTTGGAAAGTCCATGCTGAACAGATGAGTCTTTTTGATAGTCTTCAGCCTGGAGCAGATTCAAAGCAATTCAACAGGTGATAGTGCAGAACAGTCACCATGAGGAAACCCCCGGCAACTTTGCCTCCCTCATAGACAGACCGTTGGTAATGCAAGTGATTCCCAGCAGAATGGGTGAAGGACCAAACTTAATTATTGTCTGTAAGCTTTCTTTTCCTGCTTTCTGCTAATTTCTCATTTACCAGTCAGCCCTTTCTAAAACAACCTTGTACTGCCAGTCACATAGAAAGATGAGCTTATTAAAGGAACACAAGAAAGTATTGTGGCCCAGCAATATATTTTTGTTTTCTTATTCAGTGTGCTCAAACTTTTTCCTTCTGTATTTTTGTAAACATGATTTTTCCAACAGTATGTAGCTCTTAGGATCCATTTAAGGTAAATTAATTATATAAATTGGATAACTTTGCATTTTGTTTTGCTTCTGTGATATCTCTTCTAAAGAGTGGGTTGTTTAGTCTACTTTGCTTAGAAATTAATTTCACTCTTAATTCTTCTCAGAGTGGCCTCTCCATGCTGCTTAGTTTATAACCTACACAGTTTTGCAATTGCCTATATACATCAGTGAAACAGAGGGTCTAATTTGTTAGGACTAATGCACAAGCCTTTTGAAAGAACAGACATTAGCAGGTGATTAGGGATATTCTTTTGCAGTAGCCTTGGTCTGAGACAAGGGTGCCAGTTGGGATCATATTTTAGTTCTCTAGGATTTTTGCCACCAACCTCAAGTCCTGTCTCAGGTGCTGGCATTCCAGTTGAATTCTCCGCAGTGCTCATGATGTAGAACTGAACAGAACAGATATTGTGAAGAGCATATTGCAAGGTCATGTAAATCCAGGCTTTATTCAAAGTAATTAGGATTGCATTTATGTCCAGTATAAGATGAAAAAGGAATTCCAGCAAAGCTCTTTGGTAGATTTAACTTCATTTTGTGGATTTTTTTTACCTGATCTATCATTCATGAAGGAAATAAGGATTTCAAAAAATGAACCCAGCTAAACACCCTGGATGTTCCCAAGAGTCCAAAATATTTTGGGATATCCTTTATTGGACCAACTGCATAGTTGAGAAAGCTGTTGGTCCCATCCTCGGGTTTGAATGGTCCCCTGGGTGTTGCCAAAATTTACCTGACAAAATCAAAATCTCACATTGTGAAAAATGGGGACCAGTGCAACCACCAGATTCTCACAAAAGGAAGATATTTGTGCTCTTGTTTAAGACTGCATCCCACCATTCTTTCTGTGGTCATATTCTGGCAGGATCCATACTGACAGAGTTCACTGTCCACCTTGCACATAATTTTAAACATGGGCCAAAACACAGTAAAGTGATGCATGGCCATTTTAAAATGCATGGGGGCTTAATACATGTGACGCTGCAGTAACACTGGAATGTTCTAATTAGATCAAAGAATCTAATTGGAATGCCAATGAGTACATGTATAGGCAGAAAAAAGTTTCAGTGTGTCCAGTAACTGTAGGTACATTAATTTGTGGCTGTTCAACTTAAGACACTGGAGATATCTCTAGCTGGAATCAATAAGAGCTGTGAGAGAAATAAAACTATGGCTGTGGGCTGCCATAATTAGAGGGGCCAAAATTAGAGGTTATTCTTGAAACCTTCCTGTTTCTCTCTCTGCACCTGACAAAAATAACACTTTTCTACCTCTCAAAGACACTGCCATGTACTGTACAATACTACTGTGAAACTGCTGTTAAGCTCTACCTAATATTACTTTGTGCTTAATGATTTCAGGTGAGACTGAGAAACCTTGCACCCTTGTCCTTATGGATGATACTGTCCATGAAGAAGAAGAGGAGCTGCGTCTGGTTCTTGGCACACCACAAAGTGATTCTTTCTTTGGTGCTTCTGTTGGTGAACAAAATGAAACCTTAATAAAGATCAGAGATCACGCAGATAGTGAGGCATTATTTTTTTTTTTTACACAAAACATACCATATCAACTTTGGCTTTTGGGCACCTTATTAAATACCTTTTTCTGCAATTACAGAGGCTATTATTACATTTGGAGAGACTAAATTTAGTGTAAGTGAACCAAAAGATGCAGGAGAACTGACAGTGGTAAAAATTCCAGTGCTTCGTTTGGGTGATACATCAAAGGTCTCCATTGTGAGAGTTCACACAAAGGATGGCTCTGCTACATCAGGAGAAGACTACCACCCTGTGTCAGAAGGTATGAAGAAGTTCTTTGGCTTTTGCTCCTATTGGTATCACATCCACTTGATCGTTTCCTTTGTGATTGTTGTGCAAAATATAAAGGGAGAAAAGACTTAGTGAGCAAAGTTACTTTGCAGATACATTTCTTAGAACCTCTTGCTTTCAGGACTTAATGGCCACATCCAGACAAGCACAGCCATGCAGTATGTGGTGCCGCACATGTACTGCATGTTCTGTTCTCCACCCTGCAAGGGAGCAATGCAGGGGGGAGGGGTTTGACCCCTGGATAGCCAGGGGTCAAAAAACATGCAGAAAAGAAGGCAAAGCAGTACACCTGGGGACAGTGTGTGTTGCTCAAAACTGGAGCGTGGCTGGTCGGAGCCACGCTACACCTGCCAGCCAGGCTCCACATGGCAGCATTACCAGTGCTGCAGCCCTGAGAGGCCCCCAAGGACCCCAGGTAAGGCTGCTAGGGCCAGCACAGTGCTGGCCTCGACCTCCCCTACCCAACCCAGAATAACTTGCCGCGTGCCAAAGGGCACATGGCACAGGTACATGGCAAAGTGCGCAGCTGCTAGTTGTCCCTGGGGAACCAATCATCCACGCACGTGTGGACACAGCCAATAGGTCACAAAAATCCTGGGAACTTACCTGAAATAAACAACTAAAAATAATATAAATCTGAATGCTTTGCATAAAGCATTGAAGTAAAAGAAAAAAATAATAATGTTTTTTGTAGGTCTCCATCAATCTTATCTGACTCTGTTAATGTTGTTTGGGGTTAAGTATTACTAGTCATGTCAAGCTTCCTCAGTCTGGACATTCTGTGCCCACTTTGTCAGGATATTGTCTGTGATGCCATGTCCCTAGTGAACTTGTTATTCCAAGAAGAAACCACAGACTTTGATTCTTAGTAACAAAAGCGCAGCCAGGTTTATTGTTCATAAACGGGCTTAGATACTAGTATCCCTGACCCACTGACACGTAGTGCTACCTGGATCATTTGCAGGCATGTTACAAACAAAAATAACCCTTAAGCCCCATACAAGGTGCTAAGTGTTCCCAGGCCCCTTTTACACACCAATCAAAACAACTTCATGTTTACAGGATACACATCTGAGTTCTCACCAATTATGAAAACACATTTAGGTGGTATCATCCTACTTCTCACCAGTTAGTGCAGCCTTCCCGTCAGGTATGGACACCTGTGGCCAGGTCACTTCAGTCTTTGTTTTGGTGTTCTGTACTGGTCTTATCAGTTCACTCTCTATCTATTGGCCTTGAAGCTCCTCTAAAACTAGTAAGATACGTTTCCCAGCACTTCTGTGCAAGCCATGTATGGTATACCTAGCTCTGTAGTGATTGGGCCCTACTTTGGTTCATGCTGTTAGTAGGACCTCTGTATCTTTTTTACATGCACAATGGTTGTATTAATCCAAACTCTAGCAAGGCTACATTTTTCATTATGGTTACTAATATTTTAAACAGATGAATATCTGTTTTATCCTGCTTTCAATCTCTGGACAGCAATTTTCCTGCAGCAGCTTTTCAGCCCAGGGTCCTTTGTTCTTCCAGAGGCTTGAAAGCAAGAAGAGGTTGTATCAAAAGTATTTTTGTACTAGAGCCCCCAAAATGAGAGCAGACCACACAGTCTAGACTGCAACCATTTCGATCAAAAATTTGTCCTATAATTAACAAGGCAAATTATCACATGTGGCAGACAACTGGATTATGTACTAGATGTATGATCATTGTTTAGAAGCAGTCTAAGTTTGTACTATGGTCAAATGTTCTGTATGACTTGTGACAAAAGAAATACCTGCTACCTGATTAGTTAAAGGGAGCTCTTATAGTTATGAATACCTATTGCTTATTCCAGATGGATAGCTTGGACATACAAATTAATGGTTGATGGGCTGTTTATGGAAACCTTAGAAAAATCAGTCAATGAAATGCAATGAGCCTCCATCTTCATTAAGACATAGTGCTAACCAACCTGCAGTGGTAGTTACTATAAACATGGTAACCCGGCCACTGACAGTTGTTAAAAAGAAAGTGTGATTGGATCTAATGCACAATCCCAACAATCATGCTTCCAGCCATGTCACATGTGCATGGCAGGAGGTACAACTGTAGAATCAAGCAGGAGATCCAATTATGCCATGTTGCCAGTGCAGGGGGAGCCTGAGATCATAATCTTGGGCTCTCCCTGCACCAGCAGTCTTTGATTGCATAGCTAGGAGCCCCATCAGTTGAACTTCTATAGCTGGGAGCTCTGTCAGCTGATCAGGACTACTAGCCAAGGGAGCTCATTGTGCTCCCCAAGCTGGGAGCCATGAACAGCTGACCTGAGCTCCTAGTCTCAGGAGCACACAGGAGTGTGTTCCCAAAGCTGGGAGTACTGGCAACACATTCAATTAAATGTGTGATATTTTGTATAACAAATTCATTGTTTTTTCCTTTTTTTATGATACCATTAATTGATTGAATATGTAGCCAGGTCACTACTTAAGATGTGATTAACCAGTTCATTACATGTTAAGTATAATGTCTCAGAGGTTTACATTAAGTGTATTCAAGAAGAAAATATTTCCCAGGTAAGGGGGGAAATCACAAGTCCCCAGCAAAGGTCTCTACTTTTCTTTTCAAGCAACAAACCTATCAGCATGACAAAGACAACATGGGCATTTGTACAAGAGAACTTTCTCCTTTTCAGTATAACCTCTGCAGGCAGTCTTGTGAAATGGCTGTTAGCAGTCACAGCATGGCTCAAGTAGCAAGCTTCACGTTTATATTCATTCATAGGCAGCATGTCCACCAGTATCCTGAGAAACAGACTGTTCCTAATTTACCTCCTGTTTGAAAGTACATGCAATCCACAAATTGAACCTAGTACAGAGAATTACTCACCCAGCAGTCAAATCGGTGACTACAATTTTGCCACTAGTCAGCTATTTCTACCTTATGGTCTTTTGTTGTCGTTTTTTCTTTGCTGCTGGGATTGTTGGTGCCTTTCACTGGATTAGCCCAGTTTCTTCTGAAGGCATGGAACCACCATGGAACCTCATGAGTTACAGTACAAATTAGGCATCATTCCCAAATCACATAATTTCAGCCATTCTCTCTGTGCCATGGCTGAACAAAAGGACAGGCATGTCCAGTCAGGTTCAGACCAGTGATCTGTCAAGTCTGTTGTAAATGCCTGACAGGACCCAGTACCACTTTTATCAGAAGATTAAATAACCCAGTCTAGAGAATTAAAGATGTTAACATGACAGTTTCACTGTACAACAATAAACAGTTTAAAGGAGTTTGGATCATACATGCACAGTGCAGAGACCATGACAACAACCACTTTTTAAAATTGTTTCAACCTTTTATAAAAGATGCAGAAAAAAGAAAAGAAAACAGATAAGGCATTGAAACTGTGAAGTATTGAACCATTTATTTTAACAAAATCCCTTATTTCCTTTCCTTTATTCCTGATCTAGACTTTTTATAGAAAGAAACCCTGTTTGACATTGCTTACATGACATAAAAGATGGTACTTACTGTACTTACAGGAGAAAAAGGAAAACAGTTGATATAGGTTGTAGCTGTTGTTACTGCTCTTGTTAAAGTTTCTTGAAGACAAAAGAAGATACAAACACAACTACTAAAAAGAAAAAAACAACAGAGATAGAAAATGCAGCTCCAGTGTCTGGTGTTGACTCTTACTTGCAATATCACATTCAACGTATATAGGGTTACCGGGCATTTTGAACCCTGGCAAATTTGTACAGCAATGGGCTATTTAATACATTGCTTTTATCTGCTTTTTTGGTCATAGGCTCATAGCTAATAAAATAGTCTTGACCAGGCAAGACAAGCTTTTATCTCATTTTATCTTAAACAAAAAGCAAAAGGAATGAGAGAGAAGAATGAAAAGATGCATGTTTTGGAAGAAAACGGGCGTTAAGAAAGGTGGTAATGGCAGGATGCAAATCTCACATCCCAGGTTGTATCATAATCTAGCAAAAGCCAATGCTGAACTCATCTGGGTGCTTCTTCCTGGGGACCTAACTAAATTTATTCACTTTATTCCATAATCTCATACCAGCTGCCATATTAGGCATATTGGAAACTATTTAAAATGGAGATAAGACTCCCTCAGCATCACGCTTAGTGGCATTGAAGGGCATGAGCCTTATTTGAGGAAGGTTTCCAAAGTATATCCCCATTCCTCTGCAGAGTCACTCAGTGTTAGGAAGGAGGTTTTAAGGTCGATTTCCAAACACGTCCTTGAAATATGAATTTCTTGCTGTATTATTTTACTGCAAAAATAATTAAACTACTTCTTATGCTTTCCTTTCCTGCTTCTGTGATTCACCACTCACTAACTCCCCTTAGTGATGTCTCAGGAGAGAAGTTGGGCAGCCAAATGAGAAATGTCTTGTCTATACATTTCCTCTCTGTAAGTGGCTCTCTCCAAATTTAGCCCAATCTGGAAGCCCAGCATTTGACTCCAGTACAGTTTGCAGAGAATTATTTTCAAAGCTCTTTTCTTAGTGCTCAAAATTAGCTGCCAGAATATTTCTACAGTTTGTGCGCTGACCTGCCATTAGGTCTTAATCCTGGAGTTCCCTACAGCAGCACTGGGCCATCTCCATATTCCACACTTGGGAAGTATTGCCCACTGGTGATGAATGATGAGGAAAGCTGCTTATAGAATTATCAGCTAGGAAATAATGTCATTCCAGTTGCTGAGAAATCTCTGCCTCCTACACATACAAGCTTCATTCATCCCTCCTCAAAACCACAGGAATTGTTAGTGTCAGCTGGTATTGACCCTATATTATCTTATGCTTGCTTCCCACTTCATATTGTCAACCAGCAGAGAGTGCATGGCATGGGAGCATTACTTCTGAAGGAAACCCACTACCAAAGAGGAACAGATAATGCTGGGTCTCTGTCTAAAAGCCTTTGAGAAAGATCTGGATTCCACCACAGATTTCAGAGCACTTGCAGGGTTAGAGAGTAAGCCTGTTCTGCTGTAGGAGTAAACCTCACATCCCTGACTGGATTGTCCCAAAGAAACTGAAACAAAATAAAATTCCTGGTCCTTATATGCAACATATACTATTCCACAAAGAATAATTTCATAGGTCACTGGTTCCCGAACTGTGGCACATGTGATCCTTATTCTGCAACAGGCTACTCCCTTCTCAATTAAAATTGTGATGATGAGGGTGGTTCTTGAGAAATGTTGAGAGATGACAGTTGTACTTTAGCCCCAAAATTTTGGAAACCACTGCCATAAGTAGGTCTACATGGTGCAAAGCAGTGCTGTCTAAAATGCCCTGTGCTAGCTGTGTGCACACTAGCTCCTGGACTGTCATAGGCAGTCCTCAATTTGAGAATGATCTCTACCACAGCTCATTGATGGGTCTTGAGATGATTTAAGAATCCAATCTGTGAACCACAGATCCATCTGCAGAAGTTGCAGTTCTTTCCACAGGGGACAGTAAGCCTTAGGCAAGCATTTTTCTCCTTTTCCTTCCTTCCTTTCTTTGCTCTCTCTTCTCTGTTTTGATGGCAAGACACTGTACCTCGAAGCAGGCTGCTGCTTGGTTGAGTTTGCAGCACCATTGGAGTCAGTTAGCAGCCAGCTCCTCCCAGGTCTTGATGTTGGTATCTGTTTTTGTGATGTATCCCTTTAGTGTGTCCTTGTAACATGTCCTCTAGCTGCCACAAGATCTCAAGTTGTAATTAAGCTGGGAGTAGAACATTTGTTTTAGGAGTCAAGAATCCAGGCATCCATACACAATGTCTGGTCCAGCAGAGTTGGTGCTTGAGGATCACTGACTCAACACTGGTAACATTGACTTCAGCAAGGATTTTGGCATTTGTGATGTGTTCTTCCCATTTGATGTGGAAGGTTTTCTGGGGGCATCATTGGTGATATCTCTCCAGGCCCTCAAGAGGATGACGGTGGATCACCCATGATTCATGTTTGGTATTCAATATGAATTCCAGAAAGGTGATCATCCTTAATGATGGTGGTCAAAAAAATTGGGGTGATGACATAAGTTTGACCCTAGTTTGGATGACAAATGGATCTGTCTCCAATCCACTAGGAAGAATGGTCACAGTCATCTGGTCATGGAAAAGCCTCAAGACCTTGGTGTGTTTTTCAGGGCATCCAGATCTGGCCAGTTCTTTCTACAAGGCTTCATGACTGATGAAGTCAAAGGCCTTAGTAAGATCAGCAAAGGCTATATACAGGTCCTGATGTTCACGACACTTTTCTTGGAGCTGGTCAGTAACAAAGATCATGTCAGTTGCCCCACGAGATGATCTGAAACCACACTGAGATTCTGGCAGGACTCAGCTAGAGGTGAAAGATGGTTCAGAAGGATGTGGACAAGGGTTTTCCCTGCTATGGAAAGGAGGGCAATACCTCAGTAGTTACTACACACAGACTTAGCTCCTTTTGTGAAGATAGTCTTGATGTTAACTTTCCTCAAGTCCCCAGGGATATCCTCGTTGTTCCAAATTCAAAGAAGAAATTTGTGAAAATCTCAGTACCAGTTCCTCTTCACCAGCCTTGAAGATTTTAGCAGGTATGCCATACCACCCAGTAGCCTTGTTGTTCTTGCTTTCATGGATGGCACGCCAGATTTATTCTAGTATAGGAGGGTTAGCAAGGGATCCCCTTTCAGAGTGCTAGAGGACAGATTCAGTGGTGGCATCCCTCATGGTTGACTCACAGTTCAGGAGTGCCTTAGAGTGCTCTTTCCATCTAGCTTAGATAGATTCATTCAGCCATCCAGTGTTTACATGAAAGTAGAATTGTGGGAAGTTGGACTGTAGATGACTTTCATTGCTTGGAAAAACTATGTATATCATGTTTGTTAGCATAGAACTGAATCTTCGTGGCTTTATCTTGCCACCACTGATTTTTGATTTCCTGGATCCTCCTTTGAGCTCTGAGGAGCTGATATGTCTCCTTCTGCTGCTGAAATAAGGTGTCATCTTATCAAGCAGAATGAGCCCTTCTCTTCCAGTTTAGGAAGTCTTGGATCTCAGCATCTCTCACAGTGAACCAGTCTTGGTGTCAATGGGTGGTATAGCCAATGGATTCAGCACAGGCCATATGGACAGCAGTTTTAAGTGCCTTCCAGAGTTCCTCAGTGTTGCCTTCAGTTGTGGGCAGAGCAGAGAGCTTTTCATAAAGACACTGTTGGAGTTCCTTGCAGACCTTTGGATCTTGAAGAGCTTTGATCTTGAATGTCCTTTGCAGTGCCTTTGGCTGTTTCTGGTGTCTTGGAGCAGGCCGGATGTTCATAATGGACCTGATAAGGTAATGATCTGTCCAGCAGTCATTGGTTCCTTACATGGCTTGTGTGATATGGACATCCATTTGATCACAAGCTCTAACAATGACATAGTTGAGGAGGTACTAGTACTTAGGGCAAGATTGTTTGCAGGTAGTCTTGTATTTGTCACTGTGTCTGAAAACAGTGTCCATAATGTCAAGACCATGCTCCAAGCATTTGCTTAGAAGGATGCCTTTGGAGCTGGCTTTCCTTACTCCTTCCTTCCCTGTGGTGCAACTCTAGAGTTCTCCTGGATCAGAAGTGGTATAACTATGCTAGTGCAGAAATGCATGAAGTCTAATAGGCCTGGTTGGCTTCTTAGCAGAACTTATTGACCCCTACGCAGTGCCACACATAACACAGCTGCCCTGCATCCAGTCTGGGATCTGGCCCAGGCAAAGCTAGTATGACATCTCTCAGCAAGGCCCTGCTGACCTCACACCACAGAGACATACTTTCTTAGTGTTTAAGGCCAAAGGGGATCATTAGATCATCTAGTCCAACCTCCTGTATATTATAAGCCATTAAACATCACCAGGTTATCCCTGTATGCAGCATGGGAGCTTGTATTCAGATAAATATATCGTCTAGAAGAGCATACACTCTTCATTTGCAAACATCAAGAAATGGTGAATCCACTTCTTCCTTTAGTAGTTTGCCTCAGCCTCAGCGAGCCCCATCAGAGTCTACACTTGAATTGCAGGGGACTAAATAATGCTGCCATAGGTTAGTACTTGGATTGACAAGTACTAAACTATGGCAGCTTTTATTAGTTTCCTGCAACCTAATAGGGCCACACGTGTAGACACTGAGACTTTACTGCAGAGTAATTAGGCAACTCCACAGTAAATGTCCCATGTAGATGTGCCCAGTATTTTTCCCCTGTGAAGACAGTTATACCCTGTAATTAAGCTTATTTTTTAAACTTAATAGATTGAGCTATTAACATTTCTTACTGTAAAGCTTTTTCTATCTCTTTATCTTTTGGGGGGGGGGGGGGGGTTTTTTTTGGGGGGGGGGGGGGGGGCTTTTCTACACCCTCTCTAATTTTCCCATCCTTTTTTTAAAATTTAGACACCAGAAGCATATCAAATATTTTACTCTTGATCTTACCAGTTCTGTACAGGTACAATCACTTCCCCAATCTTACTCACTACTTCCCTATGTATACTACATCCAAGAATTGCATTGATTCAGCCTGGCCTGAAAACTTGAGTTCTTTTTCCAGTATGATCCCTAATTTCTTGTCACAGTTACTGCTTTCCAGCATACAGTCATGCACTCAGTAGATCTTATTCCATAGATGGGTAACTTTGCATTTGGCTATATTACAGTGCATTTTGTTTGAATAGTCCCAGCTGACCAAGTAAACCAGTTAAACCTATAGGTTAATTATTCTTTTTCTATTGTTCTGTTCCATTCTGCTTTATATCATTTTCAGATTTTATCAGCAATGATTTTTTTATTTCATCCCAGACCATTGAGAAAAATGTTAAATAATGTGAGGATTTACAGAACCCATTAAAACCTCCTCTTTATAATAAAGATTCGCCATATTCAACTACTCTTTTAAAAGCTGACAGACAGCCTGTTTTTAATCCATTTACTATGTACCTATGCAATAAGTATACAATCTCATTAGTAATTTTTCTTTGTTATGTTTGAATAACATAAACTAATGTGTACAGCTTATGTGAAAATATGTAATTCACAAGGCAAGTATTAAAAGTTATAGTTCTCTGTGATGGCAGAAGAGAGGGACACCTAAGAATGCAGTCTGACTCATGAACTGCAGGTTTATTCTTTATGGTCTTATTGGGCTTTTTTTTTTTTTTTTTAGAAATTGAATTCAAGGAAGGTGAAACGCAGCACTTTGTGGACATTGAAATTCTTTTTGATGGAGTTAGAGAAATGAGAGAAGCCTTCACTATTCATCTGAAGCCTGATGAGAACATGGTGGCAGAGATACAGGTAAATAATGCAAACCGACACTTGTATTAAAATATGACAGACAGATTTATATATTTGCATAGTCAGGGATAGCATTAAAGCCAATACTGCAAAATCTAAAGATGTATTCTAATCCCTTCCAAAATAATTTATTTCCATGGCATCAGAGCTCAAACAGCCACAGGCACCCTGAGAATATATATAAAATAAATACCTGCTATATTTCCTTCCACATGAATTCTTCATATTAAAACTGTTCTAGGAGACGTTAACTGTCAACAAAATGTAACATCAGTGCTGCTAGCTTGTGGAAGTGCTATGCCAACACTTATATTAAATGTTAGCTCATACTGTAAATTCTCCTATTACTATACTGGTGGCTTAAAAACCAACAATGGAATAGTCTTGTTACTGAGCAATATAGTCTATTGCTATTTAACACTAATATTTTTTTTCCTAATATGATTTTGTCTATTCATGACCTAAATCATGTAAAATCTTTTATTGTATTTAAGAACTTAATCAGTATAACTCTGTGAATAGTAACTTATGCCTAACTCCTGGCATAGCCGTCATTAACAATTACAGATATCATAGATCCATCAGGCACTTGAAGTGTCAACATGTAATAGAGATTACAGTTCTTCCAATATGCTTGCGTAGATCATGCATGCCATGAAACACGAACTAGAAGTCCTAATGCCATCAACTATCTCAGAAATACAAATGTGCCTCTGCCAGTGCCACAGCAAGAAAGTTTGGTGCCCAGGGAAGCCCCACCTTCACCCCATGCACAGATCTGGGGGCACACACCCCACCATACTTGTCCAGGGTGCACACAGTGGCAGGAGCTCCCCCCTCTCCCCCAGTGATCCACTTGTGGCTCTGTACTGTGCCCTGCCCCAGCTGGGCAGCACATACCCCAGTCCCAGCCACCCTCCTCCCTCACTGGGAGGCCCCCCCATGCCTCTTCCCTCCCCGTGTCCCTTCACCCCCCAACAGACTCACCAGCCAGACGCTGCTGTCCAAGCTGCCGAGCTGGCCACATGCATTTATTGGTGACATTATCGGCCACATCAGTCAAAATTTTTCGAAATATTTATAACAAAATATCAACTTGCAACTCGCTTGTTGGTGCCCCTTTGCTTCGGCACCCAGGGTGCTCACCCCACTCACCTCTCCCTTGCTACGGTACTGGCCTCTGCATTCTTCTTTATCACCATGGAGTATTTTTTCTGAAACTTTCGGTCCAGTTTTAAAATAACCAATGAACCTTCTATCATGTTTCTTGAGACAGGCTAAAATGCTGGACAGTAGTTCCTTCTCCTCCTTAAATCTGAATATCCGTGTTCTTTGCAAATTTCTACTAAAGGTCATTTATATATTTTAATTGCCAGACAACTAAGGCCATTGTATACATTGAAGAAATGAACAGCATGGCAGATGTTACCTTCCCCTCAATCCCTCAAGTTGTATCCCTTTTGATATATGATGATACTTCCAGAACCAAAGAAAGAATTAATCCGGTGGCTGGCTATCCTGTTGTCTGTATCACAGTGAGTATCTAGATGAGAAGTGGAAGCAAAGCCTGCATATGGATTAGTTCAAACACACAAAGGAATTCTGTCCTGTGTGAGGAAATTAGTGAAGGGCTGTTTTTAAATAAAAATGCCTTTTTCAAATAGTTTTGCCTGTATAAAGTAGGAAATAAATGGCTAAAGACAAAATCCTGTTTGTTGCAAAGATGTCTAAATGGCAACTACAGACTGGAGGTATGTGGGCAGTGGAGTCCCTCAGGGCTTGGTCCAGTGGCCTGTACTGTTCAACATCTTTATCGGCAATCTGGATGTGGGTGTGGAAAACAGGCTGTCCAGATTTGCTGACGACACCAAGATGTGGGGCGAGGTGGACACGCTGGAGGGGAGGGACAGAACCCAGCTAGATCTAGACAGGTTACAGAGGTGGGCGGATGAGAATAGGATGGAATTCAATGCAGACAAGTGCAGGGTACTGCATCTAGGAAGAAGGAACCTGCAACACACCTATAGGCTGGGGAACACCCTTCTTGCCAACACGGTGGCAGAAAGGGATCTTGGAGTCACCGTTGACTCAGGCTGGACATCAGGAGACATTACTTTACAGTTAGGGCTGCCAGGCTTTGAAATGGACTCCCAAGGGAGGTGGTGCTCTCTCCTACCCTGGGGATCTTCAAGAGGAGCCTGGACAGATATTAGGCTGGGGTGTTATGACCCCGGCACTCGTTCCTGCCCAGGGCAGAGGGTCAGACCTGATGATCTGTTTAGGTCCCTTCTGACCCTAAGCACTATGAAACTGAAATTTTGGGCACCTAAGTCATGAAAAAACATTTGACATTGCCACTTGCAATGACCTGAATCTGCTAAGATGTCCACATTTCTTATACATCTACATTTTTTCCCTGATGGGATGAAGTTCATAGGAATCACAAGCAGTTTTTGCACACTGGGTAGCAACAGCAGGCAGGTGTGAGCAATCACAATGGCAACTGGATCAGCATTGGTGGTCTCCAATTTTACATTCCCTCTAAGTCAGTGCCCAGAACTGGATCCCCAATCACCCACCCCTAGTTACATTACTAACAAAATCTGTCCTATTACTGCTACTTGGAAATGGTTCAGTACATCTATAAAGGGGTGTAACTCTACACTCATTTGAGGTTCAGTTTTGCTGTGGATATATAAAACTGTTGGGCAAAACTCCCAAACTGTTGTTGACCAAAAAACTATAAAAGGAGTTCACTTTTGGACAAAAGGCACTTTTCCAGATCATGCCATTAGGCAAACCTCCTCTAAGGGGAGTTGAGCCCTGACTTCTAATAGCAAATGTTTGTGATCTTATCACTGAGTGACAGGCCAGGCAAGGCTAAGAGCATCTTCCTATTGAAGGTAGGCCATTGGGCAGCCATCAGGGAAAGA